AGGGGGGACCCCGGGGAGGGGGAGATATGTACCAATATTTACAGGGGCGGTCCCTGGGGGCAGTGTGTCAGTATTTACAGGGGGTTCTCCGGAGGGCCGAAAACACTCACCACTTTCCAGTCACCATTTCCAACAATATTGTTGAAGTCACTGAGATCTTTGAGTAAGGTGTTGAGCACTTCAGCAACTCTTTTCTTCTGGTGGTTTCCCAGCTCCTGAGCATGGTGTAGTTCAGCTTCAAGTGTGATCAGCGTTGTCTGTGTCCCAGCACAGCAGGACATGGGGATGGGGAGGGGAATTGGGCAAGAGAGACAAGGCAAATAAACACAGACATCTCGGAAGCTGACTCTCCATTGTCAGTCCATCATCATCCCCAGTCAAGTGTCCGGGGAACTGTGCACGGTGCTCCGAGTGTGGGTCTGAACGAGGAGAGGGGATACGGAGACCGGGGAACTGTGCACGGTGTTCCGAGTGTGGGTCTGACCGAGGAGGGGGATACGGAGACCAGGGAACTGTGCATGGTGCTCCGAGTGTGGGTCTAACCAAGGGGGGTGATACGGAGACCGGGGAACTGTGCACGGTGCTCCGAGTGTGGGTCTAACCGAGGTGGGGGATACAGAGACCGGGGAACTGTGCACAGTGCTCCGAGTGTGGGTCTCAGCGCTGACCCTCCGACAGCGCCCGCTCCCTTGGCCCTGACCCTCCCACAGCGCCTGCTCCCTTGGCCCTGACCCTCCGACAGCGCCCCGCTCCCTCGGCCCTGACCCTCCGACAGCGCCCTGCTCCCTCGGCCCTGACCCTCCCACAGCGCCCGCTCCCTCGGCCCTGACCCTCCCACAGAGCCCGCTCACCATTTTCTTGGCCAGCTCGTCAGTCAGCAGCCGATTCTGTTTGCTCATCTCCTCGACTTCCTGTGATTTCTGATCGTAGTTTACTGCCAGCTCCTCCAGGGCCTGTAACACCTCCTTCACCTCGTCCTTGGCGCTCTCATTCTCCATTTGCAGGCGGCTCAGCTCCTCCCGGAACCTCTCGTTGTCGCTCCGTGTGGAGGCCAGCAACTTTGGTGGTGGAGAGAGGGGGTTGGGGAGAGAATGGAGACGCTGAACCGCAGAGAGCCAGCAGGAGGAGGCCTTTCAGCCCAGCCAGCTTGTGCTGTCTCAGTGTCACTGCTCACCTGTCAGCCCCCACTGTCACCCCATCCCCCAGCTCATAACCCTGTACATTTACATCCCCCTCCTCTCTCGCTGATTCCCCACCCACCCTTTCGAGGGTCTCTACCAAACCCCGCACCCCCCCATCCAAATCACTTCAGGCATGTGTTCCAATGGGAGAGGAAACACCTAGACACATCCCATCCAGAGGTGGGTTGTCCAGACGTGTCCCAATGGGTGGGAGAGGGTCTAGAAATGACCCAGTTGGAGGGGAAATGTTCTAGACGTGGCCAATGAGGAGGAGGATGGGGAAGACATAGCCAGTTGGGAGGGGCAAGGTCTAGACATGCCCCAAAGGGGCGGGGGGTTCTAGAGTTGTCCCAGTGGGACGGGGAATGTGTCCAGATGTGCACCAGTGGGAGGGGACTGTGTCTAGAGGTGTGCCAGTGTGAGGGGAATGTGTCTGGAGGTGTACCAGTGTGAGGGGAATGTGTCTAGAGGTGTCCCAATGGGAGGGAAAAAAGTGTCTAGACATGTACCAATGGGAGGGGAATGTGTCTAGAGTTGTCCCAATGGGACGGGGAACGTGTCTAGATGTGCACCAATGGGAGGGGACTGTGTCTAGAGGTGTGCCAGTGTGAGGGGAATGTGTCTGGAGGTGTACCAGTGGGAGGGGAACGTGTCTAGAGGTGTCCCAATGGGAGGGGAACGTGTCTAGAGGTGGACCAGTGTGAGGGGAATGTGTCTAGAGGTGGACCAGTGTGAGGGGAATGTGTCTAGAGGTGGACCAGTGGGAGCGGAACGTGTCTAGAGGTGTACCAGCGGGAAGGGAATGTGTCTAGAGGTGTCCCAGTGGGAGGGGAACGTGTCTAGAGGTGTACCAGCGGGAGGGGAACGTGTCTAGAGGTGTACCAGTGGGAGGGGAACGTGTCTAGAGGTGTACCAGTGGGAGGGGAACGTGTCCAGAGGTGTACCAGTGGGAGGGGAATGTGTCCAGAGGTGTACCAGTGGGAGGGGAAGGTGTCTAGAAGTGTACCAGTGGGAGGGGTAGGTGTCTAGAAGTGTACCAGTGGGAGGGGAATGTGTTAAGAGTTGTACCAGTAGGAGGGGTAGGCGTACACATGAATTTAAAGGGAGGGGGGAGCCTCTGCCGTGGGTGACTGACTGACGGTTCCCAGATTATTCTGTACGTGCCCATCGGCGTCTCCGAACCCGGGTCCAATGGCTGTCCCTTTCCTACCTCATCCTGATCCAACATCTGGCATTTCAGTTTCTCCACGATCTGGCTGTGCAGGTTAATGTCATCGTCCTGGGGGGGGAACAGAGAGAGAGAGACAATATATACACCATGAAGGAGTGGAGGATCTCCTCACACGGAGAAACTCACCCATTTTCCGCCCTCTGTCCCTCGCGGGACCTTGCATTCAATCTGCCCTGCACAAGTTTGAGAGAACACAGGCAGCCATTCAGCCCTTTCGCTCTCCTCGAGCCTGTCACACAGGAACAGGAGGAGGCCATTCAGCCCCCTCTCCTCGAGCCTGTCACACAGGAACAGGAGGCCATTCAGCCCCCTGCTTGAGCCTGTCACATGGGAACAGAAGGAGGCCATTCAGCCCCCCTTCCCTCCTCGAGCCAGATTTCCGTACGAGCTGTAATGTACAGTGGATGGGAGACAGGGGTCTGTTGAGTGGTGGGTTGGAGACTGGGGCAAGGGTTTAGCAACGAAGGGGCTGAGATGGCAGGGTGAGTGTTGGGGGAGTGGGTCCGCTGTTCTCTCAGGCCCCCCGTGTGACAATGTGTGAGAAGGGTGATGGGGATAGTTGGATTTCGAAGGTGTGTTGGTTGGCCTGGATTGGGTTGCGGGGGTGGGGTGTGTAAATACAGACTTACCTTGTCATCCAGGTGCTTGTAAAGTTTGCGAATCTCCTCCTCATACTTCTGCCTCTCCTCGTCAGAGATGTGGATGACGATGGATGAGTTGTCTGGGACCACAGGGGGGATCTCGTGGGTTGCTTCCCCGTCCTCCTCCTCCCCTTCCTCTTCCTCGGGTAGCTGCTCACTCTCTGGAACATTCTCTCCTGCACGAGGGTGAAAGGGGCAGCTCGGTCACAGGGTCACACAGCGCGGAAACAGGCCCGTCGGCCCAACCAGTCCGTGCCGACCATAATCCCAAACTAAACCAGTCCCACACCCGCCTGCTCCCGGCCCATCTCCCTCCAAACCTTTCCTGCCCATGTACTTATCCAGATGTCCTTTTAAACGTTGTAACTGTACCCACACCCACCGCTTCCTCAGGAAGTTCATTCCACACACGAACCACCCTCTGTGTGAAAAAGTTGCCTCTCATGTCTTTTTTAAATCTCTCTCCTCCCACCTTAAAAATAGGTCCCCTGGTCTTGAACTCCCCCACCCTAGGGAAAAGACCTCTGCCATGCACCTTATGCATGCCCCTCATGATTTTATAAATTTCTATTAGGTCACCCCCTCAGCCTCTTATGCTCCAGTGAAAAAGGTCCCAGCCTCTCCTTATAACTCAAACCCTCCAGTCCCAGCAACATCCTGGTAAATCTCTCCCGAACCCTCTCCAGTTTAATAATATCCTTCCTATAATGGCGCGACCAGAACTGGACACAGTTGCTCCAGAAGGGGCCTTACCAATGTCCTGTATAACCGCAACGTGACGTCTCAGCTCCTAACACTCAAAGGTATGAGCAATGAAGGCAAGTGTGCTAAACACCTCCTTACCCATCCTGTCTACCTTTGACACAAACTTCAAAGAATTATGTACCTGAAGCCCCTAGGTCTCTTTGTTCTACAACACTACCCAAGGCCCTACCTTTAATTGCCATTTTTTTGTTTTACCAAAATGTGATTCCTCACATTCATCCAAATTAAACTCCATCTGCCACTTCTCAGCCCATTGACCCAATTGATCAAGGTCTCTTTGTCATCTTAAGATAACCTTCACTGTCCATTCTACCACCAATTTTGGTGTCATCTGCAAACTTACTAACCATGCTTTCTCTATTCTCATCTCAGTCATTTATATAAATGACAAACAGCAGTGGACCCAGCACCGATCCCTGGTCACAGGCCTCCAGTCTGACAAACAACCCTCCACCAGTACTCTCTGTCTCCTACCGTCAAGCCAATTTTGTATCCAACTGACAAGCTCTCCCTGAATCCCATGCAATCTAACTTTATTAATTAGTCTAATGTGCGGAACCCTGCCAAAGGCTTTATCGAAAAGTCCAAGTAAGCAACGTCTACTGCTGTGCCTTCATCAATCTTCTTGATAACTTCCTCAAAAATCTCAAGTTTGTGAGACATGATTTCCCACGCACAAAGCCATGCTGACTCGCCCTAATCAGTCCTCGCCCCTCCAAATGCAGGTAAGTCCTACCTTTCAGAATCCCCTCCAACAACATACCCACCACTGATGTCAAACTCACTGCTCTATAGTTCCCAGACTTCTCCTTAAGCGAAAGCACACCCATTAGCCACCTGATCAGCGGTGGGCGAGGATGGAGTGTGGGGGCAGGGCACTGCTGCCGGGTGAAGTTGGTCTGGAGCTGCAGCAAGTGATTGTAGAAGCCGAGAGGTAACATCAGCCTCTATTCCAAAGGGGTCCGGGGTATCAACGGGGCTGAGGTGGAGAGGGGTCGAGAGCGTCAAGTTTCTAGGAGTGATGCTCATCGATGACCTGTCCTGGACCTCCCACATAGATGTGGCAGTCAAGAAGGTACAACAACGCCTCTTCTTCCTCAGGCGGCTCAGGAAATTCGGCGTGTCCGTAAGATCCCTCACCAACTTCTACAGATGCACCACAGAAAGCACACTGTCCGGGGGCATAACGGCCTGGTGCGGCAACTGCTCTGCCCAGGACCGTAAGAAACTACAGAAGGTGGTGTGCACAGGCCAGACCATCACGGAAGCCGACCTCCCATCCACGGACTCCCATCTACACTTCTCGCTGCCTCAGAAAGGCGGCCAACATCATCAAAGACTCATCTCGCCCTGGTTTATAATCTCTTCCAACCTCTTCTGTCAGGCAGAAGATACAAAAGCTTGAACACACACACCAGCAGGTTCAAGAACAGCTTCTTCCCTGTCGTTATAAGACTGCTGGAATGGACCTTTCTAGCTTCAACTAATGTTGATCTTGCTTTGTGCTCCTCCCGTGCAGTGTAACCTGTATGCCTCGCTCTGTCTATGCACCCTCTGATCTCTGTGTCTTTGTTTGCTATGACCTGCCTGTACTGCTCGCAGAACAAAACTTTTCACTGCGCTTAGGTACATATGACAACAATATATCAAACTAAACAAAAGTCAGGATGTCCCACTGCAGCTGTACGGGGCACTGGTGAGACCATGCCAGGGATATTAGACCTGATGGGCTGAATGGCCTAATCCCACTCCTGTCTCTTACCGTCTGTGGCGTGCTGGGTGCAATTTCTATCATCTTACCACCGGGAGCGTTAAACCATCATCGGACAGAGTTTGGAGGGGCTGACTCATGGGACAAACAGGTTCTGCCTTGCGCGAGGACCCCCCCCCGCCACCCCGGCCCCGTCTTTATTATTCGTGCTTTTGTGTTCAAAACCATTGTTCCTGAGGGACTGTTTTTAAAACCAGGAGTCCTGCTGCATGTTTGGAGAAAGCAAGTAAACTGTATGCCCACAGCGAGCACAGGTCACATGGCCGTTTGAACAAGCAACAATCAAAGGATGTTTGCAGACGAACTGGAATCAAGGAGTTGTGCGCAGATGCAAGATGGTAGTTTGGTCTACGGACTGGCGACCAGCCATCTTCATGACAATGGTGTTTTACCCGGCGACAACCCTGTGATTGGTTCTCGAGTAACGGAATAGCCAGCGGGGCTGTGAACACGACAGAGAGAAATCATCAGGTCTTTGTGTCACCGAGAGCTCTCTCTCTCTCTCTGTCTCTGCTCCCAGCAGTGAGCCACCTGAGGAAAACTGGTTCCATCTTTTTGCTCAGCAGCTGCTGCGGTAAATCAGCAACAAACTCACGAGTGAAACAAAAACAGAAATTGCCAGAGGAACGCAGCAGATTTCTCTTGCCCCAGAAATTTGCCGGAGAGAGCTCCGTGACTCTTCTTCGGACCAGGGCCTGAAACGGGAATCCTGTTTTCCTTTATCCCCACTCCACGGGTGCTGGCTGACCTGCTGAGTTTCTCTTTTTTCTTCCTGTGTGCGTGCCTGTGTGTGTCTGTCTTTTATTCATTCACGGGATGAGGACATGGCTGGCCAGGCAGCATTTAAGGGCAGTTAAGCGTCAACCACATTGCTGTGTGGGTCTGGAGTCACATGTAGGCCCAGACCAGGTAAGGATGGCAGTTTCCTTCCCTAAAGGACACGAGTGAACCAGATGGGGTTTTCCCAACAATCGACACTGGATTCACTGTTAACATTAGATTCCTAATTCCAGATATTTTATTGAATTTAAATTCCACCATCCACTGTGGCGGGATTCAAACCCGGGTGCCCAGAACGTTATCTGCGTCTCTGGATTAACAGTCCAGTGATAATACCACTAGGCCATTGCCTCCCCCTTCTGTATCTCTGTCTCTGTGTGCTATAAAATCACGGGGGGCATGGGTAAGGTAAGTAGCCAAGGTCTTTTCCCCCCACGGGTAGGGGAGTCCAAAACGAGAGGGGCATAGGTTTAAGGCGAGAAGGGGAAAGACTTAAAAGGGACCTGAGGGGCAACTTTATCACGCAGAGGGTATGGAACGAGCTGCCAGAGGAAGTGGTGGGGGCTGGTACAATTACAACATATAAAAGGCATCTGGAAGGGGACATGGACATGAAGGGTTCAGAGGGATATGGGCCAAACGCTGGCAAATGAGTCTAGATTAATTTAGGATATCCGGTGGCACAGACAAGTTGGGCAAAAGGGTCTGTTTCCGTGTTCTACAACTCTTTGAGCACGTGCATGTGTGAAGGGGCATTTTAGCATGGCCTAGCCATGTGTGAAGGGGCATTTTAGCATGG